ATCTGGTTTCTGAAGAACAGTTTGTATAATATTGATGCATTTTCATTTCTGCAGTCAGAAAAGTTCATGTTGTCTCTTAGGAGACGAGTAACTCACTGAGATTGGCATGCTTGTGAATAATTCAGATTTGATATTCTTAGTCCATAGACATTTCTAATACTGAATTTTTCAGCATGAAACTGAATATATTTGCATCAGTTGGGGCAGAGCAGCTTCAAAGTAGGACTTAGAACTATTGTCTGTTGATTATCTATCTATCTATCTATCTATATATATATATATATATATATATATATATATATATATATATATATATATATGTATGTATGTATGTATACTATAGTGCAAAGGTTTGTATCCACCCGAGAATTAGCAAAGGATGAATTTAATGAAGAAGGAAAAAAAAATTGAAAAGGGCACTTAGAGTCATTGAAAAAAGAATGGAATCATTTATCAAATTTATACTTTGAGAAACATTTGCAATGAATGGCCAAAATTTGTACTGCAGTAATCAATGCTAAAGGAGGATATTTTGTTGAGAGCAAAATTTTTTCAAATAACACTTTTTTTCTTTTTGTCATAAAATTTCCAATAAAAAAATTATATCGCACTGCCTTTTAACCATGTACAATAATTTTCTCTTATTTAAAGTACAAAACAAATACTTTTGGGGCCAATCTAAAAATTACCAGAGGTGGCCTCAAACTTTTGAACTGTAGTGTGTATATATATATATATATATATATATATATATATATATATATATATATATATATAGAGAGAGAGAGAGAGAGAGAGATAGATATATATATATATATATATATATATATATATATATATATATATATATATTAAGAAGAAAGAGAGAATCTGCAAACGTTTTTGATTGTAATGTGGATTTTTTAAAAAAAAATTATGCTTTATTTTCCATAAAAAATAAAACATATTTTTTTAAAAATCCACATTACAACCAAAAATGTTTGCTGTTTCTCTCTTCTTTTTAATATATACACTTTTCTCTTGTTAGAACTACTCTTCCTTTTATATATATATATATATATATATATATATATATATATAAAGACTAATAAAATGTTGTTCACTGTTTCAGTGGCAATCTTTTGCACTAATTCTGTGTTATCAGTAGTTTCAAAAAGTGTGAATGTTCTTGCAAATGCCGTCGCCACTATAATCAAATTCTCTGTGTGGGTTTTCTGTCAACTTTCATCACCATCCTCATCATTATATTATATGATTCATGTATATTTGAGCAGCAACCTTTCTTTTAACATCTTTCATTAGATATGACAGTCAAGGAAAATTTAATTAATTTTTTATATAGTTTGTTGTTCTCTTCTTGTCTTGACTGTTTAAGAGGGATTTAATTATTATCTTCCACTCCTATCTACACAAATTGCTTCTTAACATAACTCTCTACTTTGAGTGGCACCTGGGCCTTGTACAGAGTGAAACTTACTGTAAAAAAGTTGATTGTTATAAAAATATTTGAAAATATCACCTTGTTGAAATTTATTCTATTTTTTTCACTCTACTGACAAAAATGGCCCATCATTTACATGTGTAGATTTTGTTTGCCATTACTTTTAGTTCAACTAGGTGCAGTATCATAACAACACCATATTCATATTGCGTTTTACAATTTTAGAAACTTTACATGGAAGCAATTTTATAGCAGATATTCAATAGAATGAATTTAATTATCTAACATTGTAAATGATATGAATTTTATTGATACAGCGATTACTTGTATTAATTAAGTCCTACATGGAAATTAACCCTCTGTTAGCATTGTAAGGCATTGTCACAGAATTAGTCCTGTGAGGTTTTCAAACACTTCATTTAAAATATTATACAGTGTGCCAAGTACAAAAGCAGTAAATTCAGAAAGAAATTTATTTAGCTATCATGATTCATGCACAAACTGAACAATCATCATAGATGTTTGAAATATTTGCCTGAATATTTAGCATAAAGTTGTAAACGTGGTAACCAGGTGGCAGTAGCTTTGCAGATAGTGTCAAGAGGAACTTCATTCCAAGCTTCAGTTAAGTTCCACTTCAATAAATCAATATCAACAATGTCATGACAATGGTTTTGCAAAAGAGTTAGGACTCTACTCCAAATAGAGTCATCTATAACATTCAGATCTGAGCTTTTAAAGGGTCACTGAGATGGAACCAATTAGAGCTGATATGTTTTCTCAAAGAATAAATTTGCCAGTCTTTTACTGGGCACACTGTAGATATATCATTTTGTTTTCAATATTATTGTTATATATTGTCTTGAGTATTCTACTTTATTTTTATAGGATAAATAAAAATGAAAAAGGTTTTATTTTGAAAAATCAAATTAAAAGTTCAGTACTGTATATACTCATGTATAAGCTGACATCATCTATTGTGTGTCCCCTGAATTTTTTGTCATGAATTTTAACCCTGCCAAAAAAGAATTTACCTGTGTATAGTGCAATGGGTCACCAGAAATGCATGACTTTTAACCTCTTCCAAAAAAATTACCTGTGTATAGTGCGACACCCTATTTTTTTTGCATAAAAACATTGATCATAAAATCTTGCACTATATTTGAGCATATATGGTATTAAAAAGAATTTGTAAGTTTCAAAACTTCAAATATATAAAATAGAAATTTCATTTTATTTTCAGTGTGATTGTTTAAATCCCTTCATGATCAATACGAGCCTTCGTCAACATTCCAAACAGCAAACAAAAAGCTATGGGTTAATTAGTAAGACTTTGATTACTAAATTATTATCTAAAAAAAAATTTTTACAATCTAAAAATATTTTCTGGTTTTAAATAACCTGCAAAGGGTTGATAAGCCCTAAAAAATATGTGAACACTTTGTTATTGTTATATAAAAACATGAAATTGTTGAAATTTATTCCATTTTCCTTTCCCCTGCTGACAATGATGACCCATCATTTACATGCGTAGATTTTGTTTGCCACTGCTTTTAGTCTGACTAGGAGTAGTACGGAAACACTACCAAAGAGGTAACTTAAGTAACAGATAATTATTTTAAAAGGATATCCAGGGAGTGTAATGTTTAGTGACTTGGAATGAGAAATTGGCAAACAAGGTTTGAATTCCCATCAGGTTTGTTACATTCACTTTTGCACAAATACCGTTGGGAAAGGTACAAATCCATCTCTTCTCCCCACAGCTATAGATTAAATAGCAGTACAGACTGGGTTTTCTAACCATTGTTGGCAACTAGTCTAGAAGTAGAAAAAATTCTGAATTCAAAACTGCTTGTAACCCTGACAAAGCACATGGATTATTTTCTTTACAGTTTATCAACCTTTTTGTGGTTATTTAAAGCTGAAATATTTGAGTGTAAGAATAAGCATGAATATTGTATTAACAATTTTTTGAGAACAAGAATAAATTTTTCAAACACAACTTCTACTCTTTAACCCATAGCTGAGAGGAGGAGATGAATTCATACCTTTCCCAAGGGTCTTTGCATGTAATATTTTAAAGTCTGCCATTCATCCTTCCTTCGAATATTGCTGCCACATCTGGGCTGGTGTTCCTGCTATATATTTAGAGTTTCTTAATAAAATCTAAAGAAGAATCTGCAATATTATTGGTCCTGATTTGACATTTTGGCTACAGTTCTTTTCCTGCTGCCATAACATATCTTCTCAGTGCCTTTTCTGTAAATACTTTCAAAGTAATTGTTCTGATGAACTTTCTACTATGGTACCTTCACTTTATAAATTTAAGCGCAGTATTAGATGGTGGCAAGGTCTCATCATTTTACAGTTGAAATGGCTTGATATAAACATTTCTTCTATTACACTTCTTGCTTGTGAAACTTTCTTCCAGCTTCTTGCTTCTCAGTCAGCTTTGATCTTCAAAGATTTTAATGCAATGCTAATCATTATCTTCTCTTTTCTTAATTCTTGTTCTCTTATTCTCGTCTCTCATTAATAGTAGTTTTTCTCATATTTTGTAATGCTCATTAATATCTTGCAGCCTAGTGGCTTCATTACCTTGTTTGGGGTGAATTGATTAAAAAAAAAAAGTGAATATAATGAACCTGATTGGAATTCGAACTCAGCTCTCTGAGTTATCATTCTGTGCCAACTGTGTATACTATACAGCCATGGAAAGGATTATAACTCTATGATCTTTGATTGCAGTCGATGAGGCAGGTAGTTATTTAAAATCTAGAAAAAAATGCTATCAACAAACAAGCTGTTCAATGACTAAGGATAAATTATAAAGATGTTATAGATGATATTCAGAAAATATCTGTATTTTTCTTCTTGCAATTTGATACTCGGATGTTTAACTTTGGAAATTAATCAAGAAAAGGAACTGCCAGTATATTAAGACTATTAGTTGCACCAAAGTGAAATGGGTACAGATTTAAAATGCTTCAGGTTTCTTTTTTTCAGAGCTTCTGTTGGGTAAATATACTGAAGATATCACCAGTTATAGCAAGAGAAGCCTAATACATGTCATATGTTATTAACCTAATTTTAATGTGAAACATTCGAGTAGTACCACTCAGCAAATGTTCATAAATCGACAAAAGACTTGACATCAAATAGGTGAACCAAAGCCAGAAACAAAACTCAGAAAATAAGCAATAAATAAATGGAAGAATCTCAGAAAGGAATTTAAAAAAGAGGCTTTCAACAGAATTAGGGAAGAAAATGGTGAGAATTAAAAGAAGAAAAACAAGAGGGGAAAACCACATCAGGGAGAATGGAAAAAAATGCAGAGAATTTCTACTGCTATCTAATTCCTTCCACCAACGACTTCCTATGTAAAAAAAAAAAAAAAAAAAATGTATCATTGTTGTTTTTTCTCATTTAGTTTTTCATTTTATTTCCCTGAATATTTCTTCCTGGATTCTGCTATTTGTACTGTTAGCAAATGCTGTCAATACAATGTAATCAATACCTGTCGAGTACAATAGAAGACTTACACTTTAACTTCTTGTAT